GCGCACGGGGCGCCCACGGGCGGCCGCCAAGCAGGCACTTGTTTTTTTTGTGTACCAGCGCGAAGAATGCCCAGTGGCGGAGGGGGGACAAGCAGGGGGGAGGGAGGGGGAGGAGGGGGGAGGAGGGGAGGGGGGACAAGCAGGGGGGAGGGAGGGGAGGGGGAAGGGTGCGGCGGCGCGGCCAACCAGGCACCACGTGAAGCCCAGGCGTAGCCACCCAACGGCTCATATCAGAAACGTGAGAAGCCGTGCACGCAGACAGTGTTTGCGGACAGCCGTGCGAGCAAGTATGTACTGTACGCATGTACAGGTCATATCTGCACACATCCGCCGCCGCCGCCTGCACGCTGTGGGCGTGGTGGAATGCTGGGTGCTGCTCTGCAGGGTTTCCCCTGGACAGTGTTTACACACAGGGGTTCGCACTTCTTCTCTAAGGAACTGGGCCTGTGTGTCGGTCGGGCGGCTGAGTAGCCGCTGTCGCCGCCCCGTCGCCGCCCGTCGTCTGGGCCTGGTGCTAGTCTGGCGGTTATGTAGCCGCCTGCATATTTATACATAACCACACACGAACGCCAACACACACACACACATACACACATATATATATATATATATATATATATATATATATATATACGTATTGCACAACATAGGTCGCACCACATAGGTTGGAAACATACATATATATATATATATATATATATATATATATATATATATAATATATATATATATATTGCACAAGGTAGGTTGCCCCACCTAGATGGCACCGCGTACGTTGCACAACGTCAATTGCACAACATACACTGCAACACGGAAGTTGCACCACGTCGATTGCCCCTCCAGATTTGCGCGCCACATAGGTTTCCAGTCTCAAGCTGAATCAGCCAGGGGCGCACGGACCTGGATCAATGTGTACCGAAGCATGTCAGAAGCTGCGGACTCCTGCAAGATCCTGCACGCAAGTCCGGGTCAATGCACCCGTGGCTCTGCAAGATCCTGCAAGATCTGGCACTCTGGCAAAACCCCGTTAGCATTGATTCCCGTCTCAAGACCCCCGACTGAAGATCCCCCCCCGCCGGGATTATCCGTTCGGCCTCGCGTACCGCAATATGCAAATGATTATGCCTCCCCGTTGATCTGCCATCTGAAGCCATACCATCCCAGCCAAGCAGAGCTCGCCACCCCTTCAACTTCGTGAAGTAGTACTGTGCGCGCACCCGTTGATCAACAGACAGATATGTCCAAGGACCCCATGCAAAACATGTGACGAACTCCGCGCGCGCGCCTCGTCGCGCGCGCATGCCGACAGCCCTCAACATCATCACGCTTCGTACAGGTTTCGAAATCGGGAATCCCGAAACCATAAGACAACAAATGACAAGATGATCGTCCAAAACCAAAATTGATGCGCGCGCGCGCGCCCTTGCGAGTGCTTACGAAAACCATCGGCTTTTCCATTTGAGCGCCCTGGCGGGTTTGCTGCGGGGGGGGGGCACGCCGTCGTCATCGTCATGGTCGTCACCAGCATCGCTACTATCATCATTGTGTCTGCCTGTGTCGACGTCGCCAGGGTACCGCGCCCGTCCGAACCACTGACTCGCACTGAAGAGCCCGCGTGTCAGCGCGGCCTGCGAGACGCGCTGGAATTCCCCTGCGGACAGCGCCACCGCGGCCGCGTCGGTCGCGCCAAACTAGCTGGTCGCTCTGAACGCGAACCTGCGCGCGCCAGCGCGGCCGCATTGATGCGCCAGTCATCGCCAAGCAGTCATCGCAATCGCCGCTGCACGTGTTTTGCAAACCAAAATGCGGGTAGGTGCGTGGGATGGTCGCACGAGCATGGCAGGTGGCCGCGCCGCGCGAAGGAGTCAGAGCCAATTGCAACACCTAGATTGCACAACATTGCTTGCACTACGAAATTGCATCACGTAGATCGCACCACATAGGTTGCTCATCCCATATCGCACCACACCAGTTGCACAACGTAGATCGCACTACCTACACTGCTCCACGTATATTGCATACCATAGATGGCTAGAAACACACTGGTTGTGGCCCACGCTGGCTAACATTGCATTCTAATGAGGGGCCCTCCCATCTAGTCGCAGATAATTGCATGCATTACCACTGCTCCCGCGACCACGACCCGTCGTGCAAAAAAGCGTGGGCCCGCGCTCCCGAGGCGACGGCCCCGGGTAAAACACTGGTGCGTCCGCGCGCCTACCGAAGACGTGCCAAGATGGCCCCAAGGCTGCCGAATACAGTCGAGGCGTTGACCTAAGGAACCCTTAATAAGGAACGAGGCCCCGCTTTTTCCATAAGTTAGACTTCGATTCCCCAATGGGAAACTTAAGGAACATCTTAGGCAAGCTGCGAAACAAATAAGGGATACCGAGCCCCTCCCCAACGAAAAGGGTTCCTTCTTCAGCGCCCCGACTGTATGGCCTCAAGACGGCCCGAGATGCCTGCCAGAGGGCACAACGGGCCCCCGAGAGGAGCTCCAACAAGGCCCGAATAATCCTAAATCCTTACTTCCCCTTGGTGCTTGAACGACTTTCGCAGTCTCGCCTCTTGGGGCTTCCGTCAGTTTAAGACTGCCCGAGGGCCTCCGCGATGGTCCGAAGACGGCCCAAGAAGGCCCCCACCAGGGCCCAAAGGTGGCCCAAGAGAACCCCGCCAAGGCCCAATGGCGCATCCAAGACGGCCCGACGACGGCCCAAGAAGGCCTCCCGTGGGACCCAAGACGGCTTTCGAAGGCTCTTCGATTGCCTAGGACGGCGCCAAGAGGGACCCACGACGGCCCCCAGGCACCCGCAATACAGCCAAGAGGGCCCCAAGGCGGTCCAAGAGAGCCCCACGACGGCCCAAGAGGGCCCCAAAACGACGAAAGAGGAACCCAAAGGACTCCCAAGACTGCCACATGGGAGGCCAAGGCAGCCGCAAGACTGCTCAAACGAGGTCCATGAATGGTCCTTGAGCAGTAAAGACGAAGTGTGTCGCGTGTGACAGCCTGCCTCGTCGTCGTCCTCCCCCTCCTGCGCCACTTCCTCCTCCTCCTCCTCATCATCATCATCATCACCACCACCACCACCATCGCCAGCATCATCACCATCATCATCATCATAATCATCATCATCATCATCATCATCATCATCATCATCATCATCATCACCACCAGTATCAGCATCATCACCAGTATCAGCATCATCATTACCATCAGCTCTCATCACCATCATTAACATGATCATCCTCGTCACCAACATCATAATCACCACCATCAGCATCATCATCATCATCATCGTCATCATCATCATCATCATCATCATCATCATCATCACCATCACCATCATCAGCATCACGGCTCCCCCAAACGACGTGGAAGCACGAAATGTCGCACGTGACGGTCTCCTGCGTCCCCTTGAACAGCCGCCAACCAGAATGCTGAGCTGGCACGGCGGCTGCCGCATGCAGCTGGGTAGTATATGCGTCTGTGGTACCATAGGCGTGCACCACGTGAGGCGATGTCCTCTATGGAGCAGTTGGGAATAGTGTCGAAACCTGCCCCGCGTGACGCTACAGTGTACACATGTACGTGCTGTGTACATACGACCGTTGCAACTGCCTGTATGTATGGTATTCTCACGTGATCGGTCGCCATTGCTTCATGTGTGCACATGTGGCTTCGATATACCAGTCGCGTGCTTCCATGTGCTAATTGCAGCTGTTATGTACGCAAGTTCGTTATTCCGAGTATGTATGTTCATATGTGTATGTGGTGCGTGCTTGGCGTATGTTATTGGTGAACGATTATCGTGCCTGATGCTGGTGCAACGTCTGCGTGTGGTATGTCTGCAACGTTTAACACAAAAGGTTAGTCATATGTGTTTGGGCGTCGGCTTGCATTGTCTGTTTGCGGTGTAAGCATGTTCCCGATACTGGCTCGTGGTGCGCATTAGTGATGCCTGTTCTTGGCGCAAGTACTTTGTAGTTATTGGCGCCTGTTCTTCACATCTGCTCTTGAGGACAGATCCAGGTCATGCCTGGTCAGCACTGAGACTTCAAAATCCAATCGGTCACCATGGCCCTGCCACACGTTCCTGACTCGGGAAGGGCTGAGAAAGTGACAATCCAAAAGCCCTGCCACACGTTCGTGACTAGGGAAAGCTGAAACGGTCCGACCCCCATTGCCATGCCACACGTGTTTGATGATGTTGCTAGTCAACATAAGAAGATAGCAACTTCGATTCGCAACTTCCCCCTCGATAATAAGCTTCGGCCTTGCCGCCCCTCTCCCCCGACCAAATCTGCATTGGCCGGGGAAAGGCAACTCTGAAGGGTTGTTGAGGGGGGGAAACCGTTACTATCCGGAGCATGCGGTTACTGGGCATGCTCGGGACTGGCAGCTTGAGACGGGACACTCGGGATACTTGGGACCACTGGGGCCTGACGGTCGACGTATTCAGGGCTGGTGGCGGCCGCGGTGTGCAGGGCTGGGCTCTTCTATCAAATTTCCTGGAAATCAACCTGGCAGGCGCTGGGAAACGTAGCGTACAGCAGGCACATACGATACGAAACTCTGCTATGAGAAATCGAGGGGCACATCTAATGTCGACCCTAACCTTCGCAAGTTGCCCCAGGGCACTGTGGGCTCAAAGGGAGACGAGAAATTATCGTTGGGCACTCGTTGGCAGGCTAGTGCTAGTAGCGGGCGGAGTGCTATAGGCGGACAGCTCGGGAGGCACGCACGATTATTTTCTGAGACAAGAGTACGACAAAAGTGAAGCCCACAGGTTTGTTGGCAAGCGTTTGTACTCGACACATTACCGCAAGAACGCCGAAGTGGCTCCGCCACGTTCCCCGCGCAGGCACGCCCAATCACGAACCCGACACGCGTGCCCATCGTGTGAAATACCTCAGGGGATATCGTGCTTCGGGTCGCGTGCCATGTCGTGACTCACTGCCCTACCGGACGTCCCAAGGGCTAGATCCAGACCCGGGAGCTCCTGTAGGAACGGTGTGCGGAGTCTCACTGATTTGATGACTCGCCTCGTCGCCATGGACCATGCCAGAACTCGGTGAATAGTCATCGTGGGCGACTGACCAAGACCCGTTGAACTTCTCCGCATAGGTCTGGAAGACCAAGAGGGAGGTGCATGTGGTCACGGCCATAATGCCATCGGCGAATGCAATGGCTGCATCCTGAAAGGCCACGCCGGTCGTCAAGGTCGAGAGCAGGTCGACATTCCTGGTTCCAGGCACCCCACCTGGCGAGCCCCACCTCTGCAGCACGCCGACCTGGTTGCCAACGTACACGTCGCCCGCCGAGTCGACCGCTGGCAAGGACCAACTGTTCGGAGAGCACGTGGCGCGGCCGCCCATGGCACGTCGGATGTCGGCACCCTCCCTGTCGCCAGCACAGTGACTGGTCCACAGCGTCGGCCCATCCTTCATCCACCGGATGTGCCCGTTGTTCGGATCAATGGACCAGATCTGGGAGGGAGAATTGAATGCGCAATTGAAGCCCATGGTGACGATCAAGCGAGTGTGAGCAAGCGCAGAGACCATCCCGGTGCTGGCGCTGGCTGGCGGCTCCGGCGTGTTCAGGTCCCAGAGGGACCTGCCAGAGGTGGCGTTGTAGGCACGGACGAAGCCCCTTCCGCCTTGCCACGTCCAGCAATTAATAAGGATGCCAGGTGCTACGTAAGGATTGCAAAATTTGCCCCCGTCCGTGCCGATGGCGTCCTCCATGTGGTAGGTCTCCACGTTGTAGTGCCTCATGCCGAGGGCGAACAAGATGTTGTGGCCAGGATCGTACACGGCGCCTGCATGGGTGTGCGTGCCAATGTCGCCGCCGACCTGAAAGCGAAGGGAGCCGGTCGCGAGGTCCAGGGAGTACGCCCTGCCCTCATAGTCCTGGAAAAGCACGGTGTCGCGCGGGCCCCACAGCGGAGCCATGTTCCACACTGGCGCAAAGGTTTTGAACTCCCAGATCGCGCTGCCGTCCGCAGCACTCAGGCCGCGCACCTTGGAATTGCCGGGCGTGAGGGGGTTGGTCTGATTGCGATACCTGTAACAGTACCGGTCAGTGCACCTGTCGGTTGCGACCACTATGATTCCATCCTTGCCAGCCACAGACCCCTTGACGCCCGCGATATCGTTCGAGGCCCACGTTGCCCACAGCTCCTCTCCGCTTGCGAGGTCGATGGCGAACACAAAGCCAGAGGTAGTGCTCCCTACCAGCATGGAGGGCAGGGTGGCGGCCACATTCTTCGACTCCACGCGCGAAAAACGGCTTCCCATGGCGTGAAGCTGCACCACGCTCTTGTGCCCGGTGCGGGTCCACGAGATGACGGCTCTGCTCTCCGTCTCCCCGTTCTCCTTCTCGACGGCGGTAATCATCCCCGTGTCGCCGGCTTTGTAGAGCTCCTTGCCATCCGCCTGATAGCGGAAGCCCGGCTTCACCCTGACGAGGTCGCCGACCTCAAATGAACCTACTGAAGGTACAGACTCGTTTCCACTGACCCAGTCAGGCCGCAGCTCGCGCTCCTCCTCGGCGTCATCGCCCCCCTCCTGGACCACAGTTGCGTCCAAGCGCCTGCTGCTAGCGAGAACCAGGGTGGGCGCCGCTGCGAGCTGACCTCTGGGGGCGTAACTCCACAAGATCGTGCCTGTGACGTCGAACTTCCGGATGGCGTCGTCGGAGCCGATGTAGATGTTCTGTTGGTCGTCGATGAGCGGGCTGCCGACAGGAATGGTGTTGTACGTTCCACTCGGGTGGTGCCAGCCCCAAGTGACGTTATCCAAGAGGTCCGTCGCGCCGGTGTAGGCGTCCCCGTCGCGGTTGGAGGAGTCAGCCCAGAAAAACTTGCCGTCGCTTCTCTTCGTCCTCTTGACGGCGTGGCGCCTGTACCGAGTGACGCCCATCTTGTTCATCTTGCCCACCTCAGTCTTATCCGAAGAACCATCGAGCATCCCCTCGGCAGTCGCGCTGGCGTACCGTGTCGTTCGCCCTGCCCTTTGAGCACCTCCTTCAAGCTTCCTCTCAGAAACTGTTTCAAACTTCCTTTCGGAGCCTCCCTCAAGCTTCCTTTCGGAACCTCCCTCAAGCTTCCTTGCGGAGCCTCCCTCGAGTTTCCTTTCGGAGCCACCCTCAAGCTTCCTTTTGGAACCTCCCTCAAGCTTCCTTTCAGAGCGTCCCTCAAGCTTCCTTTCGGAGCCACCCTCGAGCTTCCTTTCGGAACCTCCCTCAAGCTTCCTTTCGGAACCTCCCTCGAGCTTCCTTGCGGAACCTCCCTCGAGCTTCTCGGACGCGATGCCATGCCGCTCCTTTCGTTCTGTCTTCTCTAAACCTCCCTCCAGCTTCTCGTAGGCAACGGCATACTTCTGGACGCCGATGGCAGCGGCTGGTAGCAGCAGCAGTAGGACAAGACGTTGGCCACGAACAGGAGCCATGGCCGACGGCAAACCCAAAAGTCTCAAGAGTGTAAGTTCAGTGGGAAGCGAACAGCAATACCAACATGACGTCCTGAAGCCAGCCAGTTGAGGCGGAAGCCGAATCCCTCCCACAATCCTCTCCCATCTTACTTCCCGCCCGCTCCCCTCCCACGAAGGCCTCCGAAGGCCCACGGGGACCGCATGAAGGAAGTCCTCCGAGGCCACCCGAGGCGCTCAAAGGCCCGCACGGGGCAAAGAATTTCCCCAATCCTCAGCATCTCCGACCCCCGAATCTGGTGTTCATGTTGCTGTAGTCTCTGGCAACTTTGCCCGTGTGGGGGTGGGTCGGCGAGTCCCCAAAGGAGAGCTGGACTTCACGCAGGTCGATCATCACTTGCACAAATGTAGGGCTCAGTGCTCTCTGAGAAGGTGGTCAGCAGGGGATGGCATGGGGGCCAACAGTCCGTGCAACTAAACATACGTTTCTAAATGCAACTAGAACGTGCAGCCGGACATGGGACAACAGAACACCTTTCAAGAACATGAAACCTTCCACCGGCCAAACTGAAGGAGATTCGAAGGTACCCTCCCAAAAGATGCGCAAGAACATCCAACGAGCACGAAGTACATCAAGATACCCTCAACGAACCTATCTCCCTCTTATACCTTATACTTCGGTCCAACCGTATTCCTCCCATCCCTCGCCGTCCCCCCGCCTCCCTTTCACCCTCTCCTCCGCTTCCCCTCTCCCGTCCTGCACTCTCCCCTCCCAGATCCCGCTACCCTACCCCTCGCCACCCACTCTTCTCCCATGCTCTTTCCGCCCAGTTAGCCTTCTCCCCCCATGTCCCGCCTTAGCGTCCTTCGAACCATTTTCTCCTCCTCGTCTTTCTCCTCAAACACCATGGGCCCAAGGCGCGTAGATCCCTCTTTCGGCTCAAGCGCGTCATGGGTCCTGCCCCACCGCCTCAGCGCGGCGTGTTTGTAGCTACCCGCAGCTCTGGTATTATTGCTTGAGGTGCGCGTCGGCTAAGGGCGGGGCAAACGTGTCAGAGTCAAATTTAATGTCATCATGCTGCATGTTTCTGGCAGTCGTGGATGTCCGTGGGATCCGCCTTCCCCGGTTTGCGGAGCCTCACAGTGCATATGGCGGTCAATGTTGTATTTTGTTGCTGTCATGGTGCTTTGTGCTTTCGTCTCCGCTCCCCCATCACGGGGCATGTCACGAAGTTCGTCTACTCCTTGTTCGGCAGCCCGCGGGGGTTTTGGCTGAGCCTGGCCAGCGCAAGGCAGATGTATTCTGTTTTATTGTAGTTTCAGTTTATGTGTTCGCTGAGCCTGGCCAGCGCAAGGCAGACGCATTTTGGGGTGCCTGGAATGGTGTGCCATAATGGTGAAGAATATTCCGAGGAATCTGAGCATTTTTGCTTCATTGGAGTGCTGTATAATATTGGTGAAGGAGCATTCGAGGAACTGGTGCATGTCCCTGCTCGTCCTGCTTGACGGCATCGTGATCGTGGCGGTTGGGGGCGTGGTTCAACGGCATTCATAAAGGGCGCGCCGCTGGATAAGCCCAAGGGGGGGGGTCCCTACTCCCTACTCCCTACTCGCCACTCGCAACCCACTACTCACTACCCAATACTCACTACTCGCTACGCACTAACTCACCACTCACTACTCTCCACTCCCTACTCCCAACTCCCAACTCCCTACACACCTTCTCCGGCGCAGAAAGGAGAAGCGAGAGAGGCCCCCCCTCCCCAGCCCCCTTTCAGGCGCAAAGGGGGAGAGGGGGGGGGGCGAGGTGGGGGTTCGACCCCGCCCCCCCCTAAAGGGGGGGAGGGGGGGGGGTCGGACCCCCCCCCCTGGAAGGGGGGGATGGGGGGGGGGTTCTGGGGTTCTGGACCCCCCCTCCTTTAATGTATTCAGGAAGATCCACTGGCGCACTTTCGCAATCATATACATGACGAGTAGCAACCACAGGTGCATAGTCTTGATCGCCCCCTGACCTGAGCATTGCTGTCTATGGGCTCATTTGTTCGCTCCGCGATTGCTCTCACTCACTCACTCCTCCTCCTTCTCCTCCTCCGCCGCCGCCCCCCGACCATCGTACTCTCCCAGTTCCTCCGCCTCCTCTGTACACCTTCCTCCGCCTCCTCTGCCATCCAGGCCCGCAAACTCAATCACCGGCTTTGTGAGACCTTACACCTGGGAGCGTAGGGGGCACTCACGAAACAGCTCACGGGGGGCGCGGGGAATCCGGGCAGCGACAAAAAGCTAACAGGATGAGAGCGCGAGCCTGGCCCGCCCCCCATGGGGCCCCCGAAGCGTGAGAGGTGCGTGCCGAGCTGTGCCGGGCGGACGCACGCGAACTCGCCGCGGAGGCCCTCGGTGGAGCTCCCCTGTGGGGCCGCAAGCGGTCGGGCGGCCGCACGCGAAGTCACCACGGGGGCACTGTGTGGAGCTCCCTATGGGGGCCAGGAAACGTGTGAGGGGCGTGCCGAAACGGGTCGGGTGGGCGCGCGCGAACTCACCACGGAGGCGCTCGGTGGCGTTCCCTAGGGGGCCACGAGGCGCGTGAGCGGCGGGCCGAAAGATGTCGGGCCCCGCAGCCGTCCTGGCGGTGGAGGAAGTTGGGTGGGGCCTTTCCGAGGAGACCCACAGAAGCCAGCGCAAGAGCCAGGCAGTCCGCTGCAAGCAGATCAACAGCGGCACCTTCTGGGACCCCAGCCGCCGTCGGGATCCTGACCTTCTTCGTCTTCCTCCTGCGAGCCAGCGCATGCCTCGTAGAGTCGGGGAGGTCGCGGTCAGTGGAGCAGGCTCTCTCCGCGGGGAGGACCCGCACGGGACACGCAGACACTTTCCACGAGAGGGACGGGGTGGTGAAGCACATCAAGGTGTCCAAGACGGACCAGTACAAGGTTGTGACGGTTGGCATAGTACTCGGCGCAGGGGAGCATCTGTCCTGTCCGAGCCCTCGCGGAGATGGAGGGCCATCACACGCAAGGTTCCGCGGCACCGATGTGCGGCTGCTACTCTTCAATGGTTATCGAGTGCAGTGGGGAACCGCATGGAGGTCAAGCACTTCCTCTCCATGTCGAGCCTCGCGGTCGGCCTAACGTGCGAAGAGATCGGCTCACGCAACCTCCACATGGGAGGCGCGACGGCGATGTACCACGTGACGTCCGACCTCAACTGGGTATCAGGCGCTTCGGAAGTTGAGCAGGGACAGACCGTCTCGGAATTCCTACAGGCCTACCACGACATGTTCTTAGAACCCAGTTCCAAATAACAGAAGCCATGTTCTTAGAACATGAGCCCGGTGTGCTAAAACAAGGTAGTCCCAGCCAGGAATGCTCTAAAAACATCTCGTGGAAACCACATAAGGTTCTTAGAACATTCTTTGGTCGGCCTGTAGGCACGCCAGGACGCTTCGCCACTGCTTGAAGGTGGCAGAGCGAAACCTCCCACGACTTCCCCTGGGAGTCGCACGAGCCCATGTGAAGGGGCACTGGGACACACAAATAAAGACACACAAATCAAAAGAGTTCCCACATTTTCCCCATGTTTTCTGGGTCCCTGCTTCCCCCCCACTTCCCATATTTTCCCAGATTTTCGGGGGAATCGACGATTCATTGTGCCTGTGTGTTTTTTCCCCTCCTGACCATGACGGGGACGGCAGGCCGCACGGCGTCGGACAGCTAAGCACTTACCACGCTGGCTGTCCCCGGCAGCGCCGGGCCTGCAGCCCCGCACAGGGCCCCGACGCCAGCGCGCCGGCACGGAGGCCCAGGGCGCGGCAGAGGAGCGCTGCCCGAGGCCCGGGCCTCCGACGCCACGGTGCTGTCACGGCGTCGGCCCCCCAGAGGTATCGGCCCCTTCTCCAGGACTGGCTCCTCGTCCTGATTTCAAGTCGGGCCCGTCCTCCCACAGGGGGATTTTGGATGACAAATAGAAGATAATCCAAACATAACCCAAAATGGCAACCAAAAATTCAAAACATCGTCCCCAGACTATTGTTGTTGGCTATTCTTGCATATTCGTCCTGTAGAGGGACAGGCCCGACTGAATCCCTGATTCGCTTTTTGGACACTCCCCAGACCCAGCAAAGGTAGGGGGCCACATGCGGACCCCACCCCTACCCCCCACGATTTCCGAGGGGGAGGGTGGGGTTCACTTCGCTCGAGAGCTCCCGAACGAAGAGGACCCAGAAATCGTGGGGGGTAGGGGTGGGGTCCGCATGTCGAAGGCCGAACGTGGCCCAAGCCGCCCGCCGTGACCCTCTGGGACTCGAGGAGATCTCGGGAGCTCGGCACGCCCAGCCCTACGTCGAGCGAGCTCCCCGGGTGCTCCGCGGGGGGGGTCCCCCGCTCCCGCGGGGAAGGGGCGCCCGCGCCCGCGCGGCGGCGGCGGGCAGCGCCCGCGGGGACGGCCCTGCCAGGGAGGAGCAGGGCACCCCTGCCGCTGGCCCGCCCCAGGCGGTCCGCGGGTGCGAGCGCCAGGCGCCCGCCGCGAGCAGCGGGCGCCGCTGCTCCCCGCTGTGAAGGACGAGCGAACATAAGAGAAGAGGCTATAATAGCTTATAATGAAGCACGCTATATAATAACATAGTATACGCTAAATCTACAAGCCTAGCATATACCATAGCATGCACCAGCGTACATTACAAGACAATACCATATGATGTGATATTAACTAACTCACCGTAGTGTGATGTCCCATGACAAACAACACCACTTGCGAACTTATGCCATGGTCTGAGTTGGTCGAGTATAACACAACAGCTGTATATTACTAAAGTGTTTTTTTAAAGCAAAACATCACATACTATATTCTAGCAACAAGAAAAGACTATAATGTGGGAGTGCTACATAACATATGCGGTTATATGGCATGCGAATGCGAACTTTACTATACCAGAATGTAATACAGGGCCATGTTATATGAAAGCGTATACTATAACATAGTATAGCACTGTTGAGTGCATGCTTTACTGTGACATGACACTTCAAATCACATAATAGGTTTGAAGAATATGCGTATGTACAGTACGGTGCGATATTAAGAAATATGACATAGTACAAGGTTTGAGCTATGATCGACTATATGTTCTTAGCACATGGAATATGGTCCACGCCTTGTGTGCCACTGCGATGTACTGATATATGATACAATATATTCGTGTATAATTCAATGCCACAAAGAAACTATACTATACTACCATACGTCTTATCATATCATGAGATAGTATGGTTTTCTGCAATATCAGACTTCCTATACTATAGTGTATCCTGAGTATTGCATATGATACTACATTTCAGTATGGCATAGTACACTTCGAAACAAGATATCAGGTGACAATATAGTGTTATGTAGCACTGCATAATATTGTATGCCATAGTACGATGAAGTAGATATTATCATTGTCCCAATGATATGAACATCAAATATGATATCACCATCTAGTATGATATAAGCTAAGCGATTAGAACACATGAGTTGCTACGAGGATGTACAATGGTATAAGGTAAGGTGTGGCACTTCTAGATACGACAGTATAAGAGAACATGAGATAATATACGATGGTATGAGAAGAAGGCGAAAGGCGTACAGGCAACCTTCCGCTGAAATGAAGACCGAGAACGAGGAAACCTCCTCCTCCTCCTCCTCCTCGGCGCCCCGCAGCGCCACCTGCTGCTCCTAGAACGGGGGCGTGGCGACAATGACGAACGAACAACACACACCCAGACCCACGGGGGGGTCGCAGGGAGGAGGACTGGCTATGGGTAGGGGAGCGGGATGTCGGACCTTCGTGGAGGCTTCCGTTCGAACGGGGGCCCCCGTCCGACAACACGCACCACTAGCCCCCTCCATCCCTCCTATGGGTATGGGTGCGTGTTGTTCGGTCGCCAATGAAGACGTCAATGGCATCGGGCGGTGGATGCCAGTGCGGCCAGAGCAGTTCCGTGCCTCCGCCGGCCGCGCGTTGACCTTCCAGCGAGGTCAGGGGGGCGCGGGCGGCAGCGCTGCGCAGTACATCGCCGAGGTGTCCCACGGCGGCTTGCCGGAGGGGGCGGCGGAAGCCCGCTTCGCGTGGCGCAAGTGAGTGGACGCGCAGTTGGCGCATCGCACGGCCGACAACAGCATGACCGTCCCCGACATCATCTGAGTCCGCTGCCGCCTCCTCCCTCCCATGAGCCTCCTTGGCATCGGCTCAAGGGTTTTCGCTGGTGCCTGACGGCAGGCAGAGACAGCCTCCAGGCCCCCTCTCCGTCCAACCCCCTTCCTTCGAAGCGTTTCCATACGGGGTTGTGTGAACATCTGCCTCGTTTGGCCCTGCCCCCCCGACCACCCCCTGTCCGCCGCTGCTCCCCGCGTCCATCTGATACCATATGGAAAACCGCCACGCTTGGCCTCCAGCCCCCCTTTCCCCGTCCAACCCCCTTCTTTCGACGCGTTCCTGGATGGTGCAATCTGAAAACGGCTCAGTCGCCTCTTGCCTCCCCTGTCCGCACCCTTTGTCCGACCCGTTTCCGCATGGAGCCACACTTGAAAACAAGCACACTTGGCCTCAAGAATCCCCGAGTCCACTTATGCGCGCGTCGATGATTACCCACGCGTGCCATGTAAAGAAACAAAGTGCTCGCGCTCATCTTTCCGTGGCCAGGCGCCCCCCAATCATATCAGCTCAAACGGATAACTGGCCAAGAGGGCCCCAGGAGGGCTCCATTAGGATACTCACGAGGGCCCAAAATGCAAACCAGATATCTCAGTTGGGAATAGTTTCACCGACTTGGCTGTTCTCGCTTGCCAGACTTCTGACCGCCCTCGACGGCCGAAGAGGCCCCACCATCGCACCATGACGGCCCGAGAGCCTCACAAAGGGTCCAAGAATGGCTCAGACGAGCCCAAAACCTCCAAGCCCTCTGGACACCCGCTGACTGCAATGTGTGGCATGACTTCCACTAGCGGCCCGCTGCTGATCACGCGCTCCACGCAATTCTGCGGTCCTGGAACGCACGCCAAACAGAACAACTGCAGCTCCTACCTCAACATGATCCCTTCCATTAGCTTCTGTTCTTCTTTGGGGGTCGGCGGAATGCAAGAAACCCCTGGGATGGTCAAACAACTCAAGATGGTCTGGACCCAACAATGGTGGTGCATGCGGGTGAGTCGGGTTGTGTGCATGTGAGCATGACTGGCTGGCCGAGCATTCTAAGTGGATTTGAATATGACAGGGCCTAACATTGATTGAATATGAATGCGAGCGAGTCTGAAAATGGTTGAGTGCGAGTGCGAGTGGGTATATTTGAATGTGGTTGGGTCTGAGTGTTGCGGACTGGGTGCGGGAGATTGGGTGAGCCTGACTGCGAGTGGGCATATAAATGGTTGAGTCTGAGCGGGAGGAATAGAGAGAGAGAGAGAGAGAGCGAGAGAAAGGGGTGGCGGATCACGGGTAAGTCTGCGTATGGGCGGATGAGGGTGAGAGTGGGTCTGAAATTCGTGGTGCTGAGTGTGAGTCCGTTTGAGTAGGAGACCACTGTCAATGAGTGGGCAAACTAACCATTCGCAACGAGGGTGCGAGTGAAGACCTGATAGGACTGAGCATTGGTATGGGTCTGAGAGTGAGTGCGTCTGAGTTCGCATGCGTTTGCGTGAGACTGGGTGCGAGTATGAGTGATTGAATACGAGATGGCCTCAACATGTACGAATGATATGAGCATGGATGGTGCTGGGGAGGCTTCAGGGTGTCGTGGGGCCTCATGGACACTCCTCCGTTTTCCTGGGCCTCCTTCGGCCTCCTGGGGGGTCCAGGAGGCCCACCGTCAGCTTCCCTGGCCTCTCTCGGCCTCCTGGGGCTTCCTGGGCTGGGGCATCCTCTGCGGCATCCTTGTGAATCCTGGGGCCTCCTGGAAGAGCCGCGCGATTCCCGACAGCATCGAGTTTACCCGCGGCAAGGCGCCCAGGGCAGACCCAAACCGACGACCTCGAGCAGTGTTCCTGTTGATAGGGGCGGCTACGGGGCGACCTGCCGAAGGGGTCAACGGCAGGACCAGCCGCAGGAACCCTGGGGACACTGGCTTTGACTTCACCTGCAGGCCGATGTTACTCTTAGTCCGGGCCTCTCCCTGTCCCCCGACCGGCCGATTTTGGACGAAACATGACAGACACCCCAAAAAGACATCAAACATATTCAAAAACGGCAAAACATCGTCCTCGGACTATCTTTTAGAATCCTTTTTGAATATTCCCTGTAGAGGGACTCTTGCCAAACATCCGACGTCGTGGTTTCTGTCAGTGCGCGGGGCCCAGGGCCTCGGGCCTCCGGTCCTGAGGCCACCAGCGGTAACAATTGTGGCATGGCCGCCACGCTCTCTTTGCAACCCCGGGGTCTGAGGGACCCTCCGCTGACGGCTCCGTTTTGCTTCCTGCGCCAAGGTGGAGGGCTGAGGATCCTTCGCCCCGTTCCCAGTGGGGAGGTCCTGTGCAGAACGGTCCAGGTCGACGCCAGGAGCAGGCTCGCGGCCAGGGGCGGCAAGGAGGTCAATGAGAAGGGGCCCACGCACACGGCAGGTGCCTGCCATCGCGACGTGGGCCCTGGTAGCTGAAACCGCGCGGCCCGTTCGGGCTTGAACGGCCTCCGCACTCCGTCTCCACAGAGACTCTCGACCCGCGAGCCCCTCTGTCGTGTGGACTTCGCGCCGTGGGCTGTATCCTGTGGGCCTGGGGCGGCTGCCGTCTCACGCCCCGACTTCCAGAATCCATGGTCCAGCGAGCCCCTGCGGCCACGCGCCCAGGGGCCAGTCGTCTCCAGTGCAGGGGACCTCCATCCTCTGACCTGGCACTCGGAGACACCTGTTGGGCGCAGCCACCAGGGAGTGCGCATCTAGAGATGCGCCTGAGACTGTGCCCTGGGCGAGCAGTGCGAACGAGGGAGCAGAACAGCAGGCCGCTTTTTCGGTGCACAGGGAAGGGGGCCGGTGAGTGTGCACCCTCATTCACTTCACTAACAAAAATATAACAAACATGCGTTCTCTCGGCCACTGGCCCCATGTCACGCTTAGTCGCTTGCATCGAGGCTGTAAAGTCCCAGCCCGTGACCGCAACCTATCGGACATCCCAGGGGCTCGACCCAGACCCTGGAGCTCCCGTAGGGACAATGTGCGGAGTCTCACTGATATTGTGACTCACTTCGTCGCCATGGACCATCCCAGCACTCGGGGAGTACTCGTCGTGCGAGACCGACCAAGAGGTGCCGTTCGCGAACTGCTCTGTGTAGGTCTGGAACACCATAAGGGAGGTGCATGTGGACACGGCCATGAGGTCCGAAGAGAACGCGATGGATGCATCCTGGAAGGCCACGCCGGTCGTCAGAGTCGAGAGCAGCTGGACATTCCTGGCTCCCCCGAGCCCCGTGGGCGTGCCCCATCGCTGCAGAACGCCGACCTGGTGGCCAACATACACGTCGCCCTGCGCATCGATCACTGGCAACGACCAGCTGTTGGGGTAGCACGTGGCGCGGCCCCCCATGGCTCGGCGAATGTCGGCACCCTCCCTGTCGCCAGCACACTGGTTTGTCCACAGCGTCGGGCCGTCCCTCATCCACCGGATGTCGCCGTTGTTGGGATCGAGGGCCCAGATCTGGGAGGGGGAGTTGAATCTGCAGTTGAAGGCCATGGTAACGACCAGTCGAGTATGACCAAGCGAAGTGAGCATGCCAGTGGCAGCGCTGGCCGGCGGCTCTGGCGTTGCCCTGTCCCAGATCATCCTGCCAGAGGATGCGTTGTATCCGCGGACAAAGCCCCTTCCGCCAGGCCACGTCCAGCAGTTGATGAGAATGCCAGGTGCTACATAAGGGTTGCAGTATTTGCCCCCGTCGGTGCCGATGGCGTCATCCATGTGGTAGTTCTCCACGTTATAGTGCCTCATGCCCAGGGCGAAAGCGATATTGTGCCCTGGATCGTACGTGGCGGCTGCGTGGGTGTGCGTCCCGATGTCGCCACCGACCTTGAATCTGAGCCCGCCGGTCAGGAGGTCCAGGGAGTATAGCCTGCCCTCCCAGTCCTGGAACAACACCGTGTCGTCCGGGCCCCAGAGCGGGACCATGTTCCACACAGGCGATGTAGTCTTGAACTCCCAGACTGCGGTGCCATCCACTGCGCTCAGGCCGCGCACCTTGGAATTGCCGGGCGTGAGGGGATTGGTCTGGTTGCGGTACCTGTAGCAATACCGGTCAGAGCACTTGTCGGTTGCGACCACAATGATTCCATCCTTGCCAGCAACAGCGCCCTTGACGCCAGCAATGTCGTTGGAGGCCCAAGTTACCCACAACTCCTCTCCGCTTGCGAGGTCGATCGCGAACACGAAGCCGGAGGTGGTGCTCCCTACCAGCATGGAGGGCAATGTGGCAGCCTCCGTCCGCTGCTGCTGAACGCGCAGGAAGCGGTCCTGTAAGGCGTGAAGCTTCACCATGCTCTTGTGCCCGCTGCGCGTCCACGAGATGACGGCCCTGCTACCCTCTCCGTCCTGCATGACGCCGGTGATCGTGCCCACGTCGCCGGCCTTGTAGAGGTCCTTGCCGTCTGCCCGATAGCCGAATCCAGGCTTCACCTTGACGAGGTCACCGACCTTGAACTGATTGAAGACCACGGGATTGGCTGACTCGTTGGCGCTTGCCCAGTCTGGTCGCACCAGGTTCTCCTCTTCGGCCACTTCCTCTAGGGGGTGGGCAAGGCCAACTCCCACAGGAGGAGGAGCAGGAGGAACCTGAGGAGGAGGAGGAGGAGGAGGAGGAGGAGGAGGAGAGGAGGAGGAGGAGGAGGAGGAGGAGGAGGGGGGAGGGGAGGAGAAGGGGAGGAGGAGGAGGGAGGAGGAGGAGGAGGAGGACGAGGAGGAGGGGAGGAGGAGGAGGGAGGAGGAGGAGGATGGGCAAAGCCCCCTCCCGCAGAACACCCTTCCATGAAGGTGGCCCCGGGCCAGCTCGGCGGGCGCAGGGCCCACAGCCACTGCGGCCGCAGCGCCCCCCCTGGAGGACACGAAGGGGGCAAGGCGCGCACCGACTTGGCACCGTGGTCGTCGCCGTCGCTGTCGTCGTCGCTGTCGTCGTCGCTTCCGTCGTCGTCGTCGTCGTCGTCGTCGTCGTCGTCGTCGTCGTCGTCGTCGTCCTTCAGGGTCGGCGGCACCAGCCGCAGGGCCTTCGCAATCGACTTGGCAACGTGGTCGTCGCCGTCGTCGTCGTCGTCGTCGTCGTCGTCGTCGTCGTCGTCGTCGTCGTCGTCGTCGTCGTCGTCGTCCTTCTTAAGAAGCAACTGCTGGGAGGTCTTCGCCGGAAAGATTCGAGATGATTAGGCCCAATTGCGGGGCCGTTGCGCCAGAAAGGGCCTCGGATCAAGCGGTATTGAGCGGGATTGAGCCGGATTCAGCGGGATAAAGCAGGATCAAGCCGGACCTCGGACCAGGGCAAAATCAGAATTTAACCTCCCAGGAGTTGCACCCGAAGCCTTCAGGGTCGGCGGCACCGGCCGCAGGGCCTTCGCAATCGACTTGGCAACGTGGTCTTCGCCGTCGTCGTCGTCGTCGTCCTTCGGGGTCGGCGGCACCGGCCGCAGGGCATTCGCGTTCGACTTGGGGCAACGTGGGGGTTCCGTCAACCTCCGATCCTCAGAGTCCACGCGGGCCGCCAGGCGCCGGCTGCTGCCGAGCATCAGGGTGGGAGCCGCCGCAAGCTGGCCTCGGGGGGCGTAACTCCAGAGGATGGTGCCTGTGACATCGAACTTCCGGATGGCGTCGTCGGATCCGATGTAGATATTTTGCTCGTCGTCGAAGAGCGGGCTGCCGACTGGAATGGTGCTGTAAACGCCTGTCGGATGGTGCCATCCCCAAGAGATGTTATCCAGAAGGTCCGTCGCGCCAGAGTAGACTTCCCCCTCGCGGTTGACGGGGTCGGGCCAGAAGAACTTACCATCGCTTCGCTTGGTCTTCTGGCGGGCCTGCCGCTTGTACCGGGTGACGCCCATCTTGTTCATCTTGCCCAAGGAGGTCGTCTTCGTATCCTGGCCACCACTAGACGCACTGTACCTCGGAGCAGGGCGAGCTGAGACAACGGCAGCCCAACATCGATTCCCGGACCCCTGCCAAGGCCCACACGCACCAATTTTCCGAACTGCGTCGATCTCCCGTCTCGCGTGGGAGGCTCCGTGCGCCGTTGGCAGTCTTGCCGCCAAAGGGGCAGAGGCAGACGGCAACAACAGCGCAAGGGAGACTCGACGACGGCAGTGTTCGCAAGGATGGTTCTTGTATGAATCGCCGTGGAGGAGCTGCTCCAGCCTGGGGAGCGTGAGCAAACCACAGGCGACGAGGGGGGCTAACCACCGCTGTTTCAACTGGCCCTTCCTCCTCCTCCTCCTCCTCCTCCTCCTCCTCCTTCTCCTCCTCCTCCTCCTCCTCCTCCCTCCTCCTCCCTCCTCCTCCGAGCACCGCGTCGTCCGAGCCGTCGTCGCCGCTCGTGCTGTCCTGCCCGCCCCCGCCTCGAGCCTCTCGGCCGCGCTGGCGACGCGCGCCCCCGCGGCGGCCCTCTCCGAGCCCGCCGCGGACTTCTCGGCCGCGCTGGCGCTGCGGTCTGCGCGCGCAGCCCTTCCCAGGCCTGGGGTCAAGTCGGGCCTGTCCCCCCACAAGGGGGGTTGTGGCCGAAAAATCAAAACAAGTACCCCCCAAAACGCTCCCGGAGTGTGATAAAAAAAAATCAAAAAATCGTCCCCAGACTATTTGTTTTGACTATGTTTGGACCTTCCCCCCTGTGGAGGAGGGACAGGCCCGACCGAAGCCTTGGGGGGGGGAGGGGGGTGGGCGCCAAAGCTGTGCCGACACCGCTGCCCTCCCAAAAGGTCCTCCGGGGGCCCGCGCTCGGGCCCGGGGCACGCCGGTTCGCCGCGGGGCGTGGCCACGCGGGCCCCGGGCGAGGCGGAAGCGGGGGGGGAGGGCAGCGGCGACGGTGCCGTCGCTCGGACGTCCATTTCCCGTGCATGTTTTGTTGCTTTCGCGTCCATTTCCCGTCCATTTCCCGTGCATTTTTCGGTTTCGTGCGTGATTTTCGTCGCTCGATGGTCCAGGATGGTCCTCGATGGTTCTCGCCGAGGAAAAAAAACACACACGTCCGAGAGATGCCAGGGCGACGGTGTCGGGGCGCGTTCTCCGCCCAGCGCCTCCCGCCGTCCTCTCGCTGGCACTGGCGTGCCTCAGGACGCCAATGGCGAGGGCGGGGAGCAACTGCAGGGCAACCAGGAGGTGGACGCCGGCAGGGGCCATCCGCAGCCGCGGTCCACAAGGTCAAGCGAGTGGGGGTTCCGTAGTGAACGAAGTCACGGATTATGTAGCAGATGCGCCGAGAATCGGCTGCGGCTCCCCCTCGTCCCTCGCTCCCTCTGTCTGGGGTGCACCAATAGACGTGGGGATTCGCGAAGCAGCTGCTGCATGCAGCAAGGTGATTCGGGCGCCTCGAGGCACCAGGGGAGACCATGTGCGGAGGGAAGCGCCCTGAGGCTTAGCCAAGACCCGCTGCATGCAGCGAGTTTCCTGAGCGATGTACTTTATTCAATCCTGGGGCGGCGGCTGGAAGAGATCATATCGGAGGGTGTCTGGCCCCGCCTGGTTCGTCCTCCCGAATGCGTGCGCTCGCTCGGACACTGCTTCGCCGAAGCCGCGTGATGTGCCTCAGCCGTGTCCCAGCGGATGGTGGGCAGGGAACAGGGTAAGGGAGCAGGTTTGTGCAGCGCGGCCACCTGGTAATGGAAGGGAAGATAACGAGGGAAAGCGGGAGGGGGAGGAGGGCAATTGATTAGCAATAGAAAGGCCCCTAACCATTTAGGATTATACCTAAGTTTGGAGTGACAAAAGCATTACGCAGGGATAGGGTCTTTTCTGAAGATGTATCGAAGCACGCCGCCCAAATTTATGATCCACAATGCAACGACGGGGACCTAAGTGAGGCCACGTCTCCACTGTGTTATCAAGGGGAGGGGCTCTTATATTCTCGATGGGCAACGGCCCCCACCGTCGCACCCACGCCGCTGTCCTGGTTAAGCATTGCAAGAACACTTGCATGGTACTCTGGGTAGACTGCATACTTACTATCACTGGGCACGACCGGTAACCCAACCCAGAACTGGAGCATGCCAACCGGCCACACATCTTCTGAGTCCTGGCGACGCGACGATGGGAAGGACAAGGATGACGCTCCCCAATACTCAGACGTCGTGATTCGCACAACCCGTGGGTCCCAAAACTCTCGACCCCTTCTCGGGCAGGTTTTCCGCTCTTGGTCGTTTGCGATGGTCGCCGAAGACCGAACTCTCAGGTGAAGTCACGATGTCGGACGTGTGCACATCTCTTTTTTTCCCACCACGTGGCCATCGAAAGGATCTGTCGTCAAAAGTCCAGCAAGAGGGAGAGAAGAAGAGAGGAGGCGAAACATCTATACATATATATATATATGCTTTCCTTAATTCATTATATATATAGGAAGAGAAAGGAATAGAGAGAGAGAGCTAGGGCGCGAGCAAAAACGGCGCGCACCCTCTGCGTCGCTGCCGCGGCACGCTGGCGGAGGCCGACGAGGCAGACGTCAGGAGGAGACGGAGCCGGGTGCCTCTGCGGGGGCCTCGGGAAGCCTCCGGGACCCGCAGGGGCCTCTCCCGAAGCAAGGGGAGGGGAGGGCGAGGGGGGGGCGAGGAGCGGGGGGGGCTACGGAGGAGGAAGAGGCCAAAGGAGGGAGGAGCGGGAGTCCCAGTAGCAAGGGGAGGAGGAGGAGGAGGAGGAGGAGGAGGAGGAGGAGGAGGAGGAGGAGGAGGAGGAGCAGGGGGATGAGGGTCAGGAGGAGGAGCAGGAGGAGGAGGAGACGCAGGAGAGAGTGAGGGGAAGAGGGAATGGGAAACAAAACGAGGAGTATACGGAAATGGGGCAAAGAACAGGAAGAAGAAACGGATGACGCGGAGGAGACGAGAAGAAGAGGGGGTGTGGAGGGAGGGCAATGGACAAGGACGATGAGAGGAAAATGCTGAGGAGGGGAGGCAGGAGCAAGGACAATAACATGACAAGGAAAGACTGCGCTTACGTATCTAAGCCGTGGTCCTGGCCGTATTTAGCCCGAGAGTATGGCTCGCCTTGTGGCGCGAAATCGTCTGGCACCGCCGACATTTGTCAAGTGCGCTAGAGCCATGTCCGTAGTCAGCCCCTATCTGACGTCCCAAGGGCTAGACCCCCATTAGCCCAGGAGGGACATTGTGCGGTGTCTCACTGATGTCGTGACTCATTTCGTCGCCATGCACCATCCCGGGACTTGGCGAGTAGTCGTCGTGCGAGACTGACCATGAAGAGTTTGAGAACTTGCCTGCGTAGGTTTGGAAAACCATCAGGGAGGTGCACGTGGACACGGCCATGACGTCCTGGGATATTGCGATAGACGCATCCTGGAAGGCAACGCCGGTCGTCATGGTCGCCAGCAGCTGTACATTCCTGGCCCCCGTCGTTCCAGATGGGTTGCCCCACCGCTGAAGCACGCCGACCTGATTGCCAACGTACACGTCGCCCGCCGAATCGATCGTCGGCAAAGACCAGCTGTTGGGAGTGCACGTGGCACGGCCGCCCATGGCGCGGCGAATGTCGGCACCCTCCCTGTCGCCAGCACACTGGTTTGTCCACAACGTCGGGCCGTCCCTGATCCACCTGGTGTGGCCGTTTTGCGGGTTAATGGACCAGATCTGGGAAGGGGAGTTGAAACCACCAACCCCTTAGGGTCTCCAGGCGTGTCCGGACCCCAAATTGCAGATCTGCCGCGGGGCGTCGAGGGGGAGGAATCCGACCCGTTCCCAATGCTGTATAGGACTCCCGCGAAGCTCTAAGAGCCCTCCGAAGCTTCCAAAACGACCCCGTGGCTCCAAATGCTTCCCACAAAGGCTCCAAGATGGCCCAGGAGGCCCCGACGCGACTCCAAGAGCCCCCTGGGTGTCCCAAGAAGCCCGCACGAGGCTCCAACCAGGCTCGGAGGCTCTATGCATGCAAAAGACCTGGGCTAGCTCAACTGTTACATTCCCATTGCTTGTAGCTCGGACAACTTGTGCCTCTGCGACAACTCGTCTAAACATGGCTCCAATACAGCTTCAGAGGTATTCAGAGTTGCGAGTACGCCGTAAGATGGCACGCATAGGCTTCCATGTCTGGTCATGACAAAAGAGCTCCTTCAGAGGAGCCGATTGCGGCCCAAGAGTCCCCCAGGACGGTCCCAAAACAACGCAAGCGTGTACCAAAAAGGGCCCCAATGTCATCAGCATTGGCCTTAGAAGGCCAAAGATGCCCGCCAAAGGCCCTCCAAAGGCCCTCGGGGCGCCGCTGTGACCCAGGGCACTGCCAGGAGCACCAAAGGTTAAGTCGGGCCTGTCCCCCTACAGGGGGATTTCCGACGAAAAATAACAAAAACCCAGAAAAAAAAACCTGTTTGGGACATTTCTGGGGTATTTCAAATTTTTCGTCGAAAATCCTTCTGTAGGGGGACAGGCCCGACCTAAACCAAAGGCCAGTCCTGGAACCCGCCAAGACAGCGGGAGGGCCCCGCAGGAGAGCACCCCGGCGGCCTGGCTTCTGCCGCCGCGGCACGGCAGGGGCGATCCGCACAGGCGCTCGAGCTGTCGGGGGCGCTCGACAGACGAAGCGTGCGGCTGCAGGAGGGGGCGCGCGGGGAGCAGGGGCGGCCGCGGAGGACCGGGAGGGAGGCGGAGGCGCTCCCAACCGAGAGCACCGGGTGCTGCTGGAGGTTCCCCTGGCCCAAGGTGCCCCTGGGATTTCCAAGGAGGCCCCCACGGCCTCCAGAGCACCCCTCACGAGGCCCAGAGGGCCCCAGGGGCTCCAGAATCCAACGCACAGCTGGGGGCACCCTGGGCCAGGGGCACCTCTGGCAGCCCCCGAAAGCATTTGAGGAGGAGCGCGCCGGGGCGACCAGCTGGGGCCGAAGTGACCCGGCAACGGACGCCCAAGGCGGCCCGACGTGCGAGGGTACCTTCGGCCCTGCTGCAATCATCGCCAGAAGCCGCCAGGGGCTCCCGTGCAGGCCACTCTGGACAGCGTGCCACCTCCGAGGAGGTTGGAGCCACCGCCCACCTCACGCAGGGATCTGGGATCCCTTTCTGGCTCCTTGCAGAGTTCCACGGCACGTCAACCGAGGAGGTCCGCATCAAACGAGATGCTCCTCCCACGCGCATCCGAAAAATAGCAACAACAGATTGTCACCTCCTCCCAACATCCTGGTATTATTCATTATCCTTACCCTTCTCCTCCTCCTCCTCCTCCTCACCATCATCATCCTCATCCTCATCTACCCGGCGGACACCTTCCAACTAAGTCCGGTAGACAAGAACGTTCGTTACGAAAGCACTGATGACCTACCACCTCCAGAGACTACTTCACGTGCCACTTGGATCGTGAGGGGAGACTCTGAGGACGAAGAGGCAGCATGTCGTTGAGGAGGTTTAGGAGGAGTGAATTGAGGGGGATGAAATAGGAGGATGTGGAGAAAAGATGATACCTTTCGGGGCCTCAGAACTACCATGCCGTTCGGGCAGGGTAAGGCGGTCAGTGTATGAGAGGAGAAATGCCCAGAAGCATACTCAGACCATCCGCAACAAACGGCGGCAGCATGTGGCCCATCAAATACGATTGGCGAACCTTTGTGAAACAGTGGGATGGTTTACCAAATTGAGGCCCTGGCTTCCGCCCCTATTGCGCCCCGCCTTTCGCGATCGATTTCGCGCGGTGGGTGGTTCTCAGTGAGTCGTCTTCCTCCACTGACGCTAACTATTAATAACATCAGCGCACAATGAACTTTGCCACGCCCATGCTGGTGCTATCTCCCGCACCTCCCGACACCATCGGGCTGGTCTCTGGTCCTGGGGCTCAGGGCGTCGCCTTGAAGAGGCCTGCTGTGACTGGGAGCTCTGGGGCGGATGTGGCGCAAGCCTGAAGAATCTGCAGTTGAAGCCCAAGGTAACCACCAGGCGATTGTGATGATTGGGCGAGTTGAGCATGCCAGCGATGGCGCTGGCTGGCGGTTCATGCGTATCCCTGTGCCAGATCGCCCTGCCTGACGAGGCGTTGTAGCCACGGACGAAGCCCATTCCGCCTGGCCACGTCCAGCAATTAATCAGAATGCCAGGTGCTGGGTAAGGATTGCAAAATTTACCCCCATCCGAGCCGATGGCGTCAGCCATTGTGTAGGTCTCCACGTTGTAGTGCTGCATGCCAAGGGCGATCACGACGTT